ATTCGGTTTCATGTGTTAAGCAACTCGGACAATTTTCTAATCTTTAATTGCAACTGCTGGACAGGAGGTCAACAGTGAGTGACTCAGAGTTCTGGCTGGACACTTTGACGTAATCCAAAAAGCTCAGCTCAGCTCAGCTCAGCTCAGCTCAGCTCAGCTCAGCTCTGCTCTGCTCTGCTCTGCTCTGCTCTGCTCTGCTCTGCTCTGCTCTGCTCTGCTCTGCTCTGCTCTGCTCTGCTCTGCTCTGCTCTGCTCTGCTCTGCTCTGCTCTGCTCTGCTCTGCTCTGCTCTGCTCTGCTCTGCTCTGCTCTGCTCTGCTCTGCTCTGCTCTGCTCTGCTCTGCTCTGCTCTGCTCTGCTCTGCTCTGCTCTGCTCTGCTCTGCTCTGCTCTGCTCTGCTTTTCTCTGCTCTGCTCTGCTCTGCTCTGCTCTGCTCTGCTCTGCTCTGCTCTGCTCTGCTCTGCTCTGCTCTGCTCTGCTCTGCTCTGCTCTGCTCTGCTCTGCTCTGCTCTGCTCTGCTCTGCTCTGCTCTGCTCTGCTCTGCTCTGCTCTGCTCTGCTCCTCCTCCTCTATAATATCTCAGACACATTACCTGCTGCTTTGATTCAGAACTACTCCCACTGTGTCAATATACCGCTACACAGCTTTGAACTTCAGGTGCTCAAATACAAACTGTGCAGGATGGGCGAGAACTCTCAGTCTGCCTGATGTGATCATGTCCGTTTCACTGCCCCCACCCTCTCTGTATTTGCACACCTTGGTATCAACAGAGCGGGGGCTTTAAAGTGAAGACTTAAATTATCAACAGGAAAGGATTAGCAGAAAGTAGACCCACCACAGTCTGCGTGAGAGGGAAAGGTTTTTCATCACCTTCTGGAAATGTGAAAGTTGCTTAAGTGGTCTCGTCCGAACTGTCAGAGCATAGGTGTGTTAGTCATGCTTCATTTACACCAACAAAGAAGACATGTCATTTCTCGCTGAGTTTTGCCTCATTATTACTCACAGCCCTGAACAAAGTGTTTCTCTTCCATTATTACAATAAAGTGAAGCACAGGGTTCTCAGGGGGGGGGGGTCAGAGGTGAGTCAAAACTGACACCGATGTTTTATGATAGAAATACAAAACTGTGTCCAACAAAGTCTCAAGGTGCAATGATGAGTCAATTTGACAGAAAACGTGTTAGAAACTCATCTGATATTATTGAGGCATTTTCCAAGCAAAACAACTTGATCTGGTGTGAGGAATTTCAAGTGTGAGTATGTGATGCTTTATTTGATACCTTCATTACTGTAAATCATTTTTTTTTCTTTTGTTCAATTTTCATACGTTTAATTTGGCATTAGGACTAATCTTTAAAACGTTAAATTAGTAATACAATCATTACAATGATTGTATTGTGCTGAAATAGTGGAGGTAACATAAATCATACATCTTTTGACTTTAAAAGCAAAGAAGACATTTTATTCGTTTTAATATTGATTAAAAAAATACTGAAAAAACATTCAGAATCTCTTCTCCTGAGCTATTCCACCTAAAGTTGTTGCAGACACCAATACATTGAATATTTTAAAGCTATAAAGCCCTTTGCCTCACCTGGGGTGCACGAAGCTTTATTTGCTCTTAGGCAACACTACACATAGGCTAATACTGCGCTCATGTGTTCTGAGAAAAAAGAACAATGAAATAACTTGTCTTTTTGTTTCTTAGAATTATTATAATCTTTGAAACGTTAAATCTTGTAAACACATTTCCAGCCCGTGTTCCAGAAGCAGTGAAACATTCCCGGTCAGCCTACCTTAATGCTGCGGCTCAGCCTCTTCTTCGTGTGTTTGGGGCAGACTTTGTCCATGGTCCCGCTCTCGGTCTGTGTGCTCGCGCTCACTGACTGCTTCTTATGACTGCTGCTGGTGATGTAATTACTCTCTCTCCACGCGCAATTGTTTTGAAAGTTCTGAATTGAGAACAGACAGTCCTCGCGCTGATTGGCTGAGTCACGTTCGCGCGAGCGTGTGCAACACACCTGGGAGAGCAGTGACTCATGGAGAGATTAGACTGAGTCTTCCTCTTCTTCTCCATTCATTTAAAGTGGTGTCAGTGTGAAGAGTTCGTATGGTTTCAGATGCCCTTCTCTCAGCAACTCAACAGGCTTAATGCTTCATTAAGTGTGGAATGCGGCCCGCTAATGAGTGAAGGCCAGAGAGAGAGGACTCTTCGGGGGATAATTATATTATAAATAGTTATGATCTAAGGAGCGTTTTTGACTACTTCATGTGGTAACTAATCCAAGTATCAACATTTAACATTAATGTGACCTTATTCATTTCTGTTACTTTTGATTACCTCAATATAAAATAGTAAAATACTTCAATACAATGTTTTTGACCTAAGTGTATTATGTAAGAAATAGAACAAGGTGACCTTAGAAAAGAAGAAACCAAGATATTTAGGACCACAATTATTTTATTTATAGGAAAAGCTGCTTTTCATGAAGCATATTCAGGCAGGAGCCTATACACCAACACTGAGACACATGAGCACATACTACAGTTTACACAGCACAGCCACCTCTGTAATGCCGTAATGACAATCTGAATAACCCTAACCAAGTACTTCGAAATAATGACTTTGTATCTAAATTGTTATTTTTTAGATACTATGAGTCAATATTTTGAAACATTTAAAATTGATTTACTGATGTTTGTCATTATTTAGAGATGCTAATGATTTTGTTATGAGTCCAAGTTATCGTCTTATTTTTCTTTCTTTTACTGGCAGAAATGGGCTTCCAAATTCAAACTAAAAGACAGAACACCGCTAAAGGCTAAAACCGCAACCCCTAATGTATGGATATACTGTATGAATAGCACTGTCAATAATGCCGTTTTAATAAATGCGTTTTAGAATGATAAATCTTTATCTTTAAATGTGTGTTGGCCTGCAAGTAGTCAGCTTTAAATGTATTTAATCAAACAATACTGGAAATACACAATATGCTTTTTCACTAGGAGATTCTGACCTGTTGTAGCAGGAAAAGCAAAGGTTTACTATAATAACATTAAAGATGGCTCTGTTCCTTTCAAGTGTCCCAGCAAATCATGACAGTGCGACAATGATTCAGACAAAAACAACAGGACCCTTAAACTGAAGCTAAATGGAATTCAGCCATCACTAATTTCATTATTTACAACCTTTTTATTTCGAGTGACAAGTGAAAATGGAAAAAGCTGATTAACCCCACTGAGAAGGTTTTTAATTACGAACTCCCCCAAGGTGGTTGATAACCCTAAATGCCAAGAATAAAATAATATATTACATTGATTATGAAAGCCATTTCGCAGCAGACTCTCATGCTTATGTCATTTTGTGAAGTCATGTATGAAAGGACCAGACACGGTGTTGTGTGGTCTGGATTTGTAGCAGCATCTCCTCTCTGTTCCTGAAAACAACTTCCTTAAACGTCCTTTCCACTGAATGTGACGCACTGCCTCCAGGCTGTTTGTAGTATGTCTGAACCATAATAACATGTGCTTATTCCACGAACGTGACGCAACAGTCAAAGTCATAAATCACCATGATGTATAGAAACCTTTCAAAGTAAAATAAATAAAGTGATTGAGAGCGAACGTGCTGAGCTTTATGTTTCTACACCAACGACTGCTGTTTTGAGGGATCACAATACATTGTAAAGTAATATAGCAGCTCTTATGATGCACTGTGCAACTAAATACAATGTTGATATGGGTCATAAAGTCAGATGATGATTCAATACACCAAAAGCTGAGTTCTCTTTCACCGTTGCTAACTCTACGCAGATAACCGAGTAAACACCAGAGTATTGTGACGACAGACAACTTCCACTTACTCAAGATATCTTGCAGCTGCATTGCATTATTGTCTACTTCGACTATGACAACACGGAACAGTTCAGAACTGACACTGGCTCTTTGTGACGGAGGACCGATATTTTTGAAAGGATGTCGTCTTCCAACTCTGCCGAGCGGCTATCCCGACGTGGGTTCACATCACTGAAGAAAGGTGTTCCAAAGAAAATGAGAACATTGCACCAACCGAATATAAAAAAATAATATAATTGAAACACAAGAGACATTGAAAAGAAATTGCAACATTTAGATATCATTAAACTGCATAATGTTTATGGTGTTTCACTTACATTCATTGATCATGTAGCTCGGAGTAAAAGAAAAGTTCTATCTTTGTCAATATCCAAGTGTGTTTAAAGAGATGGTTTAGATTGATTTGAAGTAGGTTAGTTTGAGGTACTTATCCACACTCACTGTTATAACTGAAGCTGTTATTTATTCTTCTAACCACCAGGCTCAGGCTCCATTGACAAAAACAGACGTTTGGTTTTTCAGAAGACCTGGTCCTCCTGTCCGTGTCCAAATTGGATGCATTCCGACTGTCACCTCCTGTATGTTCAAACTGACTATCGAGTAGGACCTCGTACAACCCCACTCCAAAAACACTTAGTCTGTCCCTTTAAGGTTGATTTCCCCCCCCCCGCGAAGTCTTGCAGCGGATGCAAATGCATTCCACAAATATAATTTGTTCCATGAAAGGACAATGGCTTGTAGAGCAGGGGATTTTAAGGATTCTGGACAACATTTGATTTTTCATAACTTTCCATTACAACATCATGAAGAAGTGCAGTGTTCCTGTGACCTCAACTTCAGCATAAATCTAAAAGCAAAACAAAAGCGTCTTGAAACAGAGGAAAAAAATACATATTGCAAACACATGGATGCTTATCTGGTAACTCAGCTACTTTAGCATCACCAGTTTAAGCTTTCCCTCAATCAAACGGAGGTGTTGGAGCTCTGCAGGAGGAACAGAGAAACCTTTGTGTACCAAAACACTGGGCTTCAGGTGCGGCTACAGAACAAACATGACTGTGGTGTCAGGTGCCTTCAATTCATCAGCATGAACTGTACCAATGCACTGCAGGCTTTTGATGTGAACAAGTGAAATGAAGTAGACATTCTATATTTTAAAATCCCATTTAATTTGTGGATATGAAATCGGGAAGCAGTTTAAAACCTTAATCCAACATGCAGAGTGACCATAGAGACACATCACAAAGATGTTAAAGGTGGAAGAATAAGATCAGATGACTGCTGGTGGCAGTTTGTGTGTTCACAGTGATTATTAGAAAATAAAATCAGTCAAAAGAATCCTGTGAAGGTTTTTGTTTTGTTCTGACGCAGAACAGTCAAGCTTATAAAATAGACAAGTTGAGATAGTTTGGAGGTTCAGATAGAAAGAAAATGTACAAAAGAGGAATAAGGTGGTGACAATAAAATAATAATAGTGTCCACAATTCACTTTGATTTATAAAAAGAAATCAAGGTCATAAATGTAGCTTTGCAATGCTGATTTAGAAAAATCTGAAGCGTCCATCCGTTTGATCAACGAGGAAAAAGTCTTTAGTGTGATCCGGAGGAAACGTGTACCTTCAGGAAGAAATCCTCTCCAGAGGCTCCTCGTACCAAAGCCCCCCCAAAGCATACCAACACAGCTTTAGGTCTATCCACAACACATCTACACTGTGTCACTAAAATACAAAGCTGTAGAAAATACTGTCTTTGAAACCAGGTTGTTGGAGGCATAAATTCTTCTATAAAAGAATGGGTCCGCTGGCACGTAAATGTCCGGGAATGCAGGTGGAGCACTGTATTGCCATCACTTCTAGATGCTTTCAAAGCAAACAATATTTAACAAAGAAACCATTTACCTTGCTATGCTGTAAAAAAATTCAACTATATAAAAACTCCAAAAACAACTGTACAAAATAAAAGCATCAGGCTCTTTCACCTGGTAAGGCACATTTCTATATTTCATGTATTCCTTATGAATAGTGTCCACCAGCCTGTAGTGTTGCTGTTCTTGGTAAAAAAAAAAAAAAGAAGTATGTTTTAGTTTTTACACGTAAGCGCCCAACGCTGCGTGGAACTCTGTGAGACACTGAACCAGCTGCTGGAACTTTGGCCTCTCCTCTGGATCCAGGGCCCAGCAGCAGGCCATCACAGCAAACCTGGGGGGAGAAAAGACACACAACACATTAGAAGGGAGAAAAGTACTCAGAGCTAGAACTTGAGTAAAAGTAAAAGTACTCGGGTCAGGTCGGGGACTTGAACCAGCGACCCTACGGCTCACAGTCCAAGCCCCTACTACTACTGACACTGCCGGACATCATGAAAGTGGGATGGGGGTACAGCGCTTCGCGATTGTCAACGGGGGGGGGTGGAGTACCGCGTTTCGCGATTGTCAACGGGGGGGGGGGGAGGTGCAGCGCTTCGCGATTGTCAACGGAGGGGGGTTAGACCGACGTTAACAGCAGCCCTGTCTGTGCACACGGGGACCGACTCTGTCGTCTGGTGATCTAACCGCCTTCTGGAAAAGCTTCACAAGTACGTCGGTACGCAAATGCGCTTTGTGACACAAGTGACGCTACGCATTTCAGATTGTTGCCGCGCATGCGTACCTGCGTACCAGTTATGTGCACCCCTGGATATAATCACTGTTAATAAGGCAGGCCCTTAAAACTTTTTATCTTGTAGACTATAATATTTTGGAAAAGGAAGCCGTGGCCTCACATCCATTGTATTTAGAAGGAAACCCTGTTCAGTTACGTCTAACAGAGGTCAGGTGATTATTCCCAGAGGTCTTTGTGGATATATAACAATGTTCAGGGATTTGGCGGGTGCAACAGATCTTTTTGAACCCGTTGAAACACAGAAAGTGGGCACAGAGCTTATGTGATGTATTTGATGTCGGGAGCACATTTGAACTGACACTATTGGTAACAAAATAAAACTGACAGGCTGTCCAGTCGGGAGAAAAACACGAATGGACGGACAGCATGCGACAGCACACACATTTGTTAATAATTAGCTAATCAGAACTCCCGACATGGGAAACAAAACCAGACATCACACCACGTAGCTGTACAGAGCAAACACGGCCAACTTGTCTTACCTTTTGCTGTTTCTGATCAAAAGTTGAGTTCAATGGCATTAAAACGATAAAACGCTGCTGAAGGTCAATCCATAGGTTAATCCAATATGTCTGTGTCACTTTGAAATGATTACTGATAATTAGGGATGTAACGATACCAAAAACTCACGGTACGATAATATCGCGATAAAAAGTCCACGGTACGATATTTATCGCGATATTGAATTTTTTTTTTTTTTTATTAAATAATTAATCTGATTTGTACAGCATTTTAGTAGGATAGTAGTATTTTAAAGTGTCAACAATATAATAATTAGACCCTGCAATAGAATAAATCAAGTTTCACTTTAGTTTTTCAAGTAATTCAACTCAAACTCACTCACTCAGCATCATCAAGGTTATCTTTTAGGAATATGAGCATGCCCACATTTCCAGGTAGAAGCTGGGATGTTTGGGTGTTTACAATATCCCCTGCTGTGGAAAAAACTCTCTTGCTTGGTACTGATGTTGATGGGACAGAGAGATATGCTTTGGCCATGGGTGACAGCAGTGGGTACAACTGTGCATTGTCTCTCCACCACTTCAAAAACAATACAGCTTTTGCCAAGAAGGTGAGGCTTATTGACAGGGCGAGATATACATATACTGTTGGTACTTGTCAATGTCTCTAGGTATGTAAATGTAGCCCTGTAAATACGATGTCCTTTTGTGTTATCTGTTGTTTTATGTTCATGTTGTAACCTACTTGCTGCCATGTTGGACAGGTCTCCCTTGAAAAAGAGATCGATGATCTCAATGGGACCATCTGGTTGAATAAAGGTTTAAAAAAAAAAAAAGATTATTTAAAAAAAATCGCGGTAGCTTTTGTCAGTCTCACGACGGTATTGAGACATTTATTTACCGCGATATCGCGATATTCGATATATCGTTACATCCCTACTGATAATCCATCATTCCATTTTTATGTCAATAACGGAGATTTCATATTAGCTGCTATGTTAGCTACTAGACCAGGGGTCACCAACCTTTTTTAGGATACTAAAACAAGTCGGGGGCTACTTTTACTCCTCTTTTTTTTGTTTTTTGCAGTGTATATATTTAGCACATTTTAACATTAAGATATGCTGACCTTTAACCTTTGTGTGCTGTTTGGGTCTGTGGGACCCGTTTTCAGTGTTTACTAAAAGAACATGTAAGCAATTTAATTATTTTAACTTGCTTTATTTGGGGGTGGACCTCACCTCCTGTAGGGGGGTCCTCACCTCCTCTAGGGGGGTCCGGGGGCATGCACCCCCGGGAAGATTTTTAAATGTTGAAGTGAAATGCATCAATCTGGTGCACTTTGAGCACAACATGAATTGATGGATACAGCTCTCAACACTCAGATGAAAGGGAGCTGTATACTTTTCAATAATCCAAACATCTTTAGAATATGATCACAACCAATAACAAATCATTTAAACTTGTTTATTCTTATCTTATGTTACCTAGTTAGCATTCTTTCTTTCTATTTATGCATATCTTACTAATCGCTCCCCTTTTAAACTGTTTTTTTTTTACTGTCCTATAGTACACATAGGAATGATTTCTTACTTTATCTATATTAAATAGATAAAGGTGTGCTCTCGCTCGCTCGCTCTCTCTCTCTCTCCCCCTCTCCCTCCCTCCCTAGCTCTCTCGCTCGCTCGCTCTCTCTCTCTCCCCCTCCCTCCCTCCCTCCCTCCCTCCCTAGCTCTCTCGCTCGCTCTCTCTCTCTCTCTCCCTCTGTCTCGCTCGCTCACAGAGGCTGTGTGCTCCTCCGTGGCGATGACGGCTTGCGTTAAAAAAAAATAATAAACATATTTGTAAAGTGGGGGGGACACAAACGGGATTTCGAAAAGAGCGGGGGACATTTCCCCCCTGTCCCCAGTGGAAATTACGCCATGCGTATGTGTGCGTCAAGTGCAATAAATAAATATGCAAGTTGCAACACACACAGAGTAAAGCTCTGCCCCTCATGTGTTGTATAGGCTGGCATGAGGCTGTTCAATGGGGCTGATGTGTTGTGTAGATTCTGCCAGAAGGAAAGGTTAAACTCCTTATGAAGCGGTGAGCTGCCGCTCCACATTCCTTTTCTTCCCGACTGCAGCAAATCAAGCAAGAACGTGATTGGTTGATATTCATTGTGGGGGTGGAGGGAGGAGGGGTGTTAGATAGATATAGAGTTGTAGTAAGTAGATAGAGTTCGCTATGATTAGGTTTCGTTTATGCATAGGGTAGATTCTTTTAATTACATTTCCTTTTTTGTTTTGTGTATTTTTTAAATTTTGGATTTGCTTGGCGAGCTATTTTTAGAACATGCCCCGCGGGCGACTCACGTTGCCCCTGCGGGCGACTAAGCACAGTGTTGGCTACCCCTGTACTAGAGTGTATGACAGCTTCCGGTTCCGGGGCATTCTGGCTACGCATCCCAATGGGTAATGTTTAGATGGATTTTAGGAATTCTCCTCGATTCTATTGGCTCTAACGGTTAAAAAGAGGTGTCAATCATCAAAATCGACCAATGGGTTCCAGAGATATGGAAAATGCATCCAAATGACCCCAGAAGTGTTTTTTCTTTTTCTAAACCTCTCTAAAAAGGTCAAATGTCACTTGTTTTGCACCAATCTTGATACAGGGTACTTATTATATGTTATAGTTTGGATTCCTAAAGCTTTGAGTCTACTATCCCATCATTCAAGGGTGGTTTTCACTATGAGTAATGTTTTTTTTTTTGGACGGACACTATAATTTACATTTTTTTACTATGTTCAATCTGAATTCACTTTAAAATAAAAAAATTCTATATTGATTCTGACTTTTCTACATCCAACTCACAGGTTTATCATTGCTTTGAGAACAAAGAGGATTCATTTACCCCTTTTAGAAGTGAAGATTAAGGCCCAATCCCAAACCGCCCCCTACACACTACCCCTCCGTTTGCGCGTTCGCGCGGAGGGTCCGCCACATTAAGTGCTGTTCCAAACCAACGAGTGTGGAGCGGTGTGGAGGGGGAGTGGGCTATCAAGCCCTCAAACAGCGAGTCTGCAGCGGTGCTGACTGGAGACCAGTCTCTACCTGTTTACAAACAGTTTCCAGCAAACATCCACTGATAAACTGCGATGTTAACAACCTCATGATAACCTCATATTTTTTTAACTTAGGATCGTACCTGTGTTTAGTCTAGAAAAAGGTAAATGTGTGCATTTTATTATAAAGTTGTGTATATTTACGGGTTAAAAATCAGGTTTAAAACTAATAGAGCTTTACAGAAAAAGTAACACAATTAAAGATGTTTGGAGTTTTATTTGAGTTCTTAATTTAAATGTTTGGTCTAAGAGATGCTGATTTGAAACCGTTGTTACATACAGTTGCGGCATTTCCTGTTTCTGGCCGTCCCAATGCGGTGCGCTGTATTTATACCCTTAACCCTTAAAGGGGACATATCATGCAAAATGCACTTTTGTACGTCTTTTATACATGAATATGTGTCCCCGGTGTTCCAGGGAACTCACCAAGTGTCAGAAAACACAACCCTCTCTATTTTCCTCCATACCCAAATCTCTAAAAAAGGGGCTGCAACGGATCTGATAAAAACTGATCCAGATTTGAACACTGTCCTGACGTCAGGACGGTGGCGATACGGCTATTGGGCCAACTCCACCAATCAGGAGGAGACAGCCACGACCATTGCCGTTCAAAAGCGCTGGAGACGCTGTAGTACATATGCCAGGCCTGTAAGTGGCGCTGTAGTCTGCCACAAAAGCAGCGAAGAAGACTTGGTTACCATGGTTACCCTTCTGTTTATTCTCCGCTGTGGCTTTCTTTCTCCCTCCCCGAGGCAAGCGTTTGCTTCTCCTGCTGCTTTAATTCAATGCAACCCCTCCCCGTCGAGGCAAGCACTGTAATTCTCTCCGGTTAGTCCACCAGCAGATGACAAACACCCACCTCTCCGCCTCTTCCAAGGAACGAGGGGACCGTGCGGCAGAGTTTCAGTTTCAGTTTGTTTCGCCGGTCAAGATGTCCGTTAAAGTTTAAATCTTCCGGACAAAATTAGAAAAGTGCCGGTCAAAGGTCTTCTTTGTTATTTATTGAGCTTTAAAACAAATGAATAACGACTCTATATAATAAAACACGAGGACGGAGATCTCTTTTTCTCCCCCTCTTCTGACAGCCCAGCAGCTGATCAGAGCACGTCTACCCTCTCCTGCAGGGGGGCGTGGTCAGCAGAATCAGACCCGTAGACAGCAAACAGCACATAGAGCGAAATGAGGCATGGCTAAAATGCATGATCTGTTTGGTATTTTGAAAACAGAAACGTATAAATATACCTTATATAGGTATAGGTACAATATATCATTTAAATATAACATGATAGGTTTCCTTTAATGGAGGGAACTTCATTCAGCTGCGAGTGTGGCTACAGACGGAGTTCACTCCGTCATGGAGGGGTAGGGTCGAGGGAGTGGTTTGGGATTGGGCCATAGTCATTTGTTCTGGGAATGTCATTTTCGAGCCTGAGACCTGGAAAACAGGCTCAGGGCTTAACAGGTTAAAACTGTGTTCAATGGAGATGTGAGTGTGCATGTGTTTGTGCTCTGTAAATCAACCTACAGTTCATCTGGACAGTTGATGGGCTGTGCTATTCTGTAGCCGTCCTTCAGGTAGGCGGACATCTCGAAAGGGTCAATGTCCACGTAGGGGGTCTGACCCAGAGTCATCAGCTCCCACAAAGTCACTCCAAAGGCCCACTGTGAACACACACACACACACACACACACACACACACACACACACACACACACACACACACACACACACACACACACACACACACACACACACACACACACACACACACACACACACACACACACACACACACACACACACACACACACACACACACACACACACACACACACACACACACACACACACACACACACACACACACACACACACACACACACACACACACACACACACACACACACACACACACACACACACACACACACACACACACACACACACACACACACACACACACACGGTTAGAAACATGATCAACACAAGCTGTTGTATCTGGTGTTAACATCAGACCCGATAAATATAATCAACATTTCCATCCAGGGTGCGGAAAGCGGCCAACTTGCATTTAACAGAAAAGTGTTTCACAGGAACAATGTGAGGAAATGATGAGTAAACAGTTGTGTTTGGGACAGTGTGAGGGTCCGACAGGGGTGTGCTGACCCTGCAGGCTGACCTCCAGGAGGAAACAAGCATGTCCATATCTGTGTGACTCTTGTACTGACCTACAGCCAAGGTCACAATGAAGAGCTAACAATAGGCTTTGACCCTGCACTTGTTATTTGGAATGTATGGAGTCTAGCTAATGTAAAATGAAACTGGGCAGCTCTTGCTCTCTTGGCAGTGAATTATGAACAGAACATGATATGATCACTAAAGAGCAGCTTGCTGTTGTGTTAGTATGTCATAACCTTACATGCAGCCTTTAAAGGAAGTGAAGGGAGTGATTGAGGGCACAGGGCACGGTGATGGGGGGACTCCTGAGAGGAAGAGCGTGATGAACAGTACCCACCCTGTTCCCTCAGTGCCACTGCCAACAACTCCAACCATGCCTAAATATCCTGACACTGGCATGAGGGAGTGTTTGAGGGAGCGTGTGTGTGTGTGTGTGTGTGTGTGTGTGTGTGTGTGTGTGTTTGTGAGAGAGATGCTCTCATGATGCTACACAGTTCCAGGTACTTGTCTGGACTTTCCCTAAAGCTTAGTGGGTTGTCATGCCAGGCGTCTGTTAATTGTAAGTGTGGGGGGGGGGGGGGGGTAACTACTGTGAAGTGGTGTGACCATAAGAGGAATGTGGCAGCTGCTGGCAGTGGCACCGGGAGCTTCCCGGCTCCCGGTGCCACGCCCGTTCTGCTCCCGTGACACAGGAAGGTCACATGGTGCTCCACGCTGACTCCCTTCCCTCCAAACCTTGACCGAGCGTCTAAGAATGGCAATTGGTTCCATTTCCTGCATCACCCCCCTCTGTATCCTTTCCCCATGTAGTTATTAAAAACACCTCAACAGACAGGAAAGGATTACAGGACGCACCAATCAGGAACAGGCTAAGGGGCGGAGACTGTCAGTGCCCCCCTGACCTGAATTATTAAATCATCACTCAAAGAGAGATTACCTGACCAGGAAGAACTTCAAAATGACCACAAAGAAACATACAACAAATTCAAAGATAAGCAAAGAAACTGCAAAGAAACACTAAATAATAACAGGGCAAAATAACTAACACAAAAATGACATATAATACCTACAGAGACACAAAACAACAAAGAAGATGTGTAATAACTAGGGCTGGGAACCATAACACATTAAAAATAAAATAACACAAATGAATGAAATCACCAAGTTCTCGCACAATCCAGAGCTGTTTCCCATGAACTGCATGGCAGTGAAAGACAAAGAAAGCAGAGGAATCCACAAACATGTATTTCACTGACTGGAGAGCACTGGACGTCAGTCAGAACCATCACTTCCTCACTGTCACACACAGCTGATCAGGACTAATGCTCGCTCTGAAGGTGAGGTGAAAACAGAGGAAAGGCTTTTTGTGGAACCATGCACAGCAGTGTGAGACATTGGACAGGGTCTCCACTGTACGATCAGATAGAGCAGCAATGATAATATGTCCTGTGTAACACACATCATACAGAGGGCAATCCCACAGCTCTCTGTGACAGCCGCTGTGTCCAGGATTTAGTGTCCGAAAATTGTCAGACTTTACAACAACATTTCAGAAATCATCAAACTAAGCTGAGATTTTCAAATAAGGTAATAAATAAAAAAAACAGTAAATGCTAGTTTTTTTAGTATACTAATTTTAAACTAATGATTTATCACAGATTATATTTGTCATTAAAATGATAATTTTTTATTGTATCAATTGACAGCTCTAGTTACTAGTATAGTTCCTCCCTCCCACCTCTCTCTATGATCGCTTACAGGAAATCAAATCCTGGATCTCCAACAACTTCCTCAAACTTAACAGTGATAAAACTGAGGTTCTCCTCATTGGAACCCCATTCCTGACAGTTTCTCCATTTCCATCGACAACTCCTCAGTCTCACCCTCCCCTCAGGTTAAGAGTCTGGGTGTCATCCTCGACAGCACACTTCCTTCAAAACTCACATCAGTGATGTCCTTCGGTCTGCTTATTTCCATATTGGGAACATCAAACGCCTCCGCTCCCCCCCCTCACACCGAACAGCACCGCTAAACTGGTTCAGTTTAACCACCATGGGGTCCAGAGCCTTTAGCCGCGCTGCACCCCCCCTCTGGAACTCCCTCCCACCGGACATCCGGAAAAATATTGACTCTCTCTCCATTTTTAAATCACATCTCCAAACGTATCTCTTCACACTGGCATATCCAGCCGGATCACATGACACATCCTCTGTTTTTAATGATGATATACTGCATTGTCTTGTTTTTATTTATCTGCTGGTGTTTTGTGTTTTTCTGTGTTTTGTATCTTGTACTGCGACCTTGAGAGCCTTGAAAGGCGCCGATATGAATAAAATGCATTATTATTGTCCACAGATGAAGTGTTCACAGTAAAGTGTGTGTGTGTCAGGCCTCACCACATCGCTGGCACTGGAGAAGTCGTTGTTGAGCAGGCTCTCCAGGGCCATCCAGCGCACCGGCCGGTTCTCATTGTCCCCCAGACAGTGGTAATCCATGGGAAACAGGTCTCGGGCAAGGGCATTGTCTGTTATCTTCACCTGCATGTTGTCGTCAATGCTGTGGGTGGGGGGGAAGAGAGAAAAAGTGGCGTCTTTATTTTTAGCAATTGAATTCCAATCCAAATCACCTGAAAGCTGAAGGGAAGCACTCTGTGCCAGGCACTTACACACAGTTCCTGGCAGCGAGGTCTTTGTGTATGACCTCCCTGCGAGAGAGGTAACTCATTCCACATGCAATCTGGATGGCCATGTAAACCAGGTCCTGTTGAGAGATCGCCTGAGAGGAAATGAGGGAGAGAGAGAGAGACAATGTGGAGTTGAGAAGCAGCAACAGGAAATACACTAAAAGGGGGGGAGAGGGGACAGGAGACTAAAGCTGACGTGACTTTAAAAGGTCCCATGACATGCTTTTCCGGTTATTACCCGTCCCCTTGTGTGTTATGTAGCTTTGTCTGCATGTAAACGGTCTGCAGAGTCACAAACCCTCAAAGTACACCCTGTAGGGAGTACAACTCTAACACAGAAAAGACCCGTCTGTGCTGCCCCCAGAACGCCTCGTTGGAGATTTCTCTTTTTCTATTTGTTTTCTTCCGGGAACCAAGTGACGTAACGACGACCCCATGGAGCAATTGGTCCAAATGGACCAATCCGGAGCCGTTACGTTACGTTACGTCCGCGGAGCCTCACACACACACACTCAATCTCACTCAAACGCGGATTTCTCAGCCTGAGGCGGCGGGACACGGCGAGGCTGTGAGTCTGTGTGTAAGCACACACACAGACTCACAGCCAGGCTGCGGGTGTGTGTGTGTGTGTGTGTGTGTGTGTGTGTGTGTGTGTGTGTGCTCGGGCTGGTTTCGGGCTGGGTTTTGCTGTGTCTCGCTGACCCGGAAACCACACCAGTAAGCCAGCTCACACTGTCCGCTCCTCGCAGCAGCGAGCCTCGCAACGTCCCGCCAACACGGCACCCAGACCCCACGCAGCATTCTCATCTATTTGTCATTACTGGTGTCATTTTCTGGCTGCTAACGCCATTGTAACACATAATCACTGATGTTCCGCTGTAACGGTGGTAGACTCATCAGAACAGAGTGGGCGAGCTGACCAATCAGAGCACAGTAGGCTCATAGGGAGGGGGGGGGCAGGAGCTCCAACAAGCCGTGTAAGACAGAGAGTGAATACACATGCTATACAGAGATGCTGTATGAGAAACCAATGTGAGTTTGGAACATTGCACAATTTAAATCTATTCTAGTATACCTCAACAATGGAATTATGATCAGTAGAAATGGCCATGACATGGGACCTTTAATGTGCTGAAATTTCAAAGTGGGAGGCGCCAGAGAGCTTCAGGGGAGGCGCAGCGTGAGAAAAAAAAAAACGAGAAACAGTGAAATCTAGCTAGTTAACTTCAGCTAACTTTATGCGAGCGGCAACATGGATCGATTTTTAGTGAAGTTACCTAAAGTGAAAGAGGAGACAGCGTCTGGCAGAAAACGTCAGCTTTGTTTTGAAATAAAAGTTGTGGCTCATCGGACATTTATGAGAGAAAATCCATAATGTCCGAGTGCAAGTGAATGCAGCACAAGACGCGAGCCTTGTAACCCCTCCCCCGGCCCTGGCGCTAGCGAGGAAATGTGATTGGCGGCGATTTCATTTGAACGGGACGGCGCATTCGGACCCCAAGTAGACGGAAGGAATGAGGTATTTGCGGTCTACAATGACAGAGAAGAGACTGTGAAGTTTGGCTGTACTCAGCATTGAATCAAAACGCACTAAAGCTTTAGATCTTAATAAGTTTGTGAGGCGTTTTGCTGAACAAAATGGTAATCGCCGCATTCAGCTGTAATAGGCATGCCAACTTGATGCTCTGCTCACGGATGACTCGATGAGCATACAAAACTGTTAAGACGATGACCTTACGTGTGTAAATATATTTTTTCTTTGTGGGGGTCCTGCCCCCAAAAAACAGTTTTAAGTCCTGAGAAAGTCAAATAAGACGGTGTGTAAAACTACACTGCCCAGCCAAAAAAAAGTAACCACTTTGATTTAACTAGGCCAGTAGGTAAGGACATTCCACTGGATAATAATACCCCTGCATTATAGCAACAACAACAATAATAATAATAATTAAAGCTGCAAGCAGCGTTGAGCGGGTCTTCGACGCTCCGCAGGCTGTTGTCCGCACGTCGAGGTGTTGTTTCAGGTCCGTGTGGACAATGTATTTATAGGAGTTACAGCAGTATCATAAACATCGTGCTTAACGGCGAGGGATGCGTTGCCATGGCAACAACTTTGAGGAAAACTCACTATTGTCATATTGAGGTGTTGAGGGGCCGGACCATTAACTGTCATCTGAAGTCTGGTGCAGTTTGGACCATTTTCCATCGAGTTATGACAAACTGTGTTTCATGGCGAGGGATCTGTCGCCATGGCCAACAGCATATGATGATATCCCATAATTGGCGTAGAGCTGTTGAGGGCCGGACCATTCACCATTATCTGAGGGTCTGGGTGCAGTTTGGACCATTTTCCATTGACTTAAGACAAACTTGTGTTTCATGGCGAGGGATCTGTCGCCATGGCAACGGCATATGATGAGATCTCTGATTTCACGTAGAGCTGTTGAGGGCCGGACCATTCACCATTATCTGAGGTCTGGTGCAGGTTTGGACCATTTTCCATTGAATTAAGACAAACATCGTGTTTTATGGCGAGTGATGCGTTGCCATGGAAACGGCATACGGTGAGATCTCTGATTTCACGTAGAGCTGTTGAGGGCGGGCCATTAACTGTCATCTGAAGTCTGGTGCCGTTTGGAACCTTTTCCATTGATTTAAGACAACATTGTGTTTTATTGGCGAAGGATGCGTTGCCATGGAAACAGCTTTTGAGGAAAGTCACTATTGTCCTATTGAGGTGTTGAGGGCCGGACCATTAACTGTCAATCTGAAGTCTGGTTGCCGTTGGAACCTTTTCCATTGATTTAAGACAACATTGTGTTTTATGGCGAAGGATGCGTTGCCATGGCAACGGCATATGATGAACACCCCATAATTGACATAAGTGCTGTTGAGGGCCGGACTAGTAGCCATGATCTGAAGTCTGGTGAAGTTTTGGACCATTTTCCATTGACTTAAGACAACATCGTGTTTTACGGCGAGTGATTCGTTGCCATGGAAAACGGCATATGATGACATCCCATGAATTGGCGTAGAGCTGTTGAGGGCCGGACCATAACTGTCATCTGAAGTCTGGTGCCGTTTGGACCATTTTCAGAGGAGTAACGGCAACTTCGTGTTTTTTGGCGAGGGATGCGTTGCCATGGAAACGGCATATGATGACATCCCATAATTGGCATATTGCTGTTGAGGGGCGGACTAGTAGCCATCATCTGAAGTCTGGTGCAGTTTGGACCATTTTCCATTGACTTAAGGCAACATTGTGTTTACGGCGTGGGATGCGTTGCCATGGCAACGGCATATGATGACATCCCATAATTGGCATAGTGCTGTTGAGGGGCGGACTAGTAGCCATCATCTGAAGTCTGGTGCAGTTTGGACCATTTTCCATTGACTTAAGACAACATCGTGTTTTACGGCGAGTGATTCGTTGCCATGGAAACGGCTTACGGTGAGATCTCAGATTTCACGTAGAGCTGTTGAGGCATGGACCGGTGATATAAAAATGAAGATTGGGGGACGATGGGACCGTGTCCATTGGAGTTACAGCGACACCGTGTTTTATGGCGAGGGATGCGTTGCCATGGTAACGCCATATTAAGTAACATCAAATTTGACGGTAGAGCTGTTCAGGGGCCATAGTGTTAACCATCATGTGGAAGTTTGGGTGGCGTTCTGAGTATGTCAGTTGGCGTTATGACATCATCGTGTTCCATGGCGAGGGACTCGCCTAGCATCGAGCGAACGTGAACTTTGGCGCAATTCACGGCTACGCCGTGCGAAAGAAAAAACTTCCGTGATAACTTTGAATTGCCCATGTCTCGAGGGCGCCTACCCGACGAATTTCGAGTCGTATCGGAATAAAGTCCCTGGGAGAAGATAGATTTTCGTGCGGAGGACGAAAAACGCGATAAATCGCGTGTTTCTCGACACCAAATTCAAAATGGCCGGCTTCCTGTACGTTATTGTATAACCCCTCCAAGAGGCTTTTTTGGTTTGTCTTCGCACCCTAGATATGCGTAGTGAGTTTCGTTTGTTACGTGAAAGTTAAAGTGGGGGAAGTTTACGTTAAAAACGGAAGTGGGGCGTGGCCCTACGCAATTTTTGACGCAAAGTTCCGGAACCAATTACATATCTGAAGTTGCACCAATTCTGACGCGCGTGCAAAATTTGGTGAGTTTTCACATATGTTGCAGGGGTCAAAGGTTTTATCGGTCGCTGCGCGACCGATTTTCAATAGGGTTTCGCCGACCTAGGTCTCAGGACCCTAATAATAGTAGCAATAATAATTGGGAGGGGGGGCGCGGCTGTTCTTATGTTCTCTGAGGGGAGGCCTCACCTTCCCACACTTTGAAACCCCCTGCCTCTAGAGCCATGAGTCACATGGCTCCATAACTGTTGGAGTGTCTGACATCAAACTGTGTTTAGGAGCAATGTAAGCATGCTAATCTTATGGTTTTTGCAAAAAAAGCCAAAGTAGGTGGTGAACATGGTAAACAGTGTTAGCATGTTTGCTGTTTTTAGCATTTAGCTCAAAGAGCTGCTGTGGTTAAGAGCAGCCTCACACAGTGGGGCTCTAGACTTTTGAGGACTCTTCACACTGCTCCTAGACCAGAGAGCTGTCAGCCCTAAGGCAGCTTTCTGACTGGACCATTCCTGCAAATTCCAAAATGTGCCTACCCAGACTTTAGCTTAGGGCTTGGTAAACCTGCTCGGGAGCACGGTCATAATGTATTAAAACATCCTGTCTACAAACTTGACCTGCTCCTCAACTAGCACCACCACATATTATTTGCCCACATTTTTTGCACACACAGCAGACATTTTTTGACTGTTTTAATCTTATCTGGCAGTGGACAGTGTGATACAACCTCAATTAATTAATGTGTTAACCCCAAACAGAGGAAACCAAAGTCTTGGCAGGCAGAGAACAGAGATAAGAACATCTCGTCAACAACAAGATGTGTGGAGCTGGTACCAGACTCTGTGTATCCACCAGGCAGCTCGAACAGCTGGGTAGTCAGTGGAACAAGCACAACTGTGGAAAAGGCTAACTCTGTTTTTTCTCACTGTTCCACCTTCCAAAGCAGATGTTCACACTCAAAGTGAATGCCACACTGTTGTATTGTGTTCCCTCAGTGCTTTCCCGGGCTTTATATCCTCTGTACTGATGCATTTCTGATTATAGCTTCACATTTATTGCACAACTTAATGACTATGTCTTTGTCTCCTACAACTGCCAAAAGGACTTAATGAGATTGCAGAGTACCAAGGTGCTGATGTGTTACCTGAAACTTAACAAAGCGGTTCTGATTAATGCAAATGGGTGGCAAGCTTCATCTTGTGATTGCAAGTGTTCGCTACATCTGTATTCTGCAGCTGATTGATTGGTTGGATCTGTGCTGTGGCTTTGCCAAGTGCATCAAAGACTCCCCGGGGTTAACTGTACAAAAGCCTGATTGTCTGTACATAGCGTATTAAAACCTTCGCCTTAAGCACAGGCTTCATGACTATATCAACAGTCCTTTTATTAACAGAGTAAACAGTACTTACAGGTACGTGTTACTTTGTGTTGATTGCTACAAACACAAAAAGTTCTTTCAGGCTCCACTCTTGGATATATTCTGACTTTTCTTCCAATTTGGGGGATTTATTTGAATAGCTCCATAACTGCCTCCATACATGGCTTACATTGAGCCATTTATCTTAATGGTTTAAAAGGTTTTTTGATTCACTAAATGTGAAAGCCTCACCTGTGGGTTGTTAGCCTCAGCTAGCTTGCACTGGCGCAGGAACAGCTTGAGATTCCCCCAGGCCATGAAGGGCAGCAGCACCATGGGGCTTCTCTCCGTCCTCCGTGCACACCTGGCTTATCGGCAAGCAGGTTTCTGAGGGTGGAGAGAACCAATGTGTAAGGGAAATGTGCAGAAAGTGGTGCACGTAAATGGGATTCTTTGAAGATAGAAGTACATGTTAACCGAGAGGTGGGGGGGTCATCCAAACCATTGCCAAACTGTGGAAGAGGAAGTGTGAGCAAGTGTCAACTTTTTGACCTTGACAAGAAGAAAGAGGAAGAGCGGGCAAACAGGGGCCGTCTCTCTGTCTGTCCGCTGCTCTTTCTCAACTCCAGGACCATCAGCCTAATGTCTGTGTGCTCATTCATGAAGGTATGCTGAAGGACTACCGTAGTTACCCGGGCACAATCACAAAATGAAAACCTATATTAGGAACTGTTTAAACCTTCACTGACTCCTCACTCTTCTGAACGGGCCGTAAGAGTGCAAGTGTGAAGTCTGCTTCAGTAGCAAAACACATGTCTTGCTTTCGATTATCTTAAAACAACCTTACCTAGCTCTTTACCTTTGTCGCAACTCAAAAGAGATTTTCTGACTAATCACTACAAAAGTTTGGTCTCATTGTAATGGGGCATCTGCATACGAGTTCCTCACCCAGTATGTCAGGATCTATCTAAACTCGTAGTGAGATTTAACACTTCTTTGTTTTTTTGGTGAAGATCTGCACTTTACTTTTTTTTTTTAATAGTTTTTAACTCAATGAAATGCATTCATGCTGCAGCTGTCAGATCTCAGGGTATACGCAGGAATCCTGAAGTCACATTGAATACATTTTAAGACCCTTTCCATACATTTTAAGACCTCATCGCAACTTCGAGTTCTAACCGGTTACATTGGCGACACACTTTACCTCACATTTACTATATGCAGTATTGATTGTAAGATAGCACAACTAAAGAGTTTGTGATAACTCCTTATCATAATTCAGATAGAACAAAGCACAAGAGAATGAATTGTGGTGTGACCAACCCAATGCATTGATTAGGCATTGTTCCCAAGAGTGCAGACAGACTACTGAAGCCTCCCTCTCCACATGACTTCAACCTCTCTGTCAAGGTCAGGTTTAATGCAGTATGCTGCTTTGTTGCTTCTGTAGACACACTTTGTGCTCTTTCATTCCAGTAAAACTCCTCAGAAAACCATTAGAAAACCAGTATTCTGACCAATAAACAAAACAATTGACAAAACTTTGAACTATGAAATATATTAACTTTGGTGAGCTTCAGTGGGGTAATGCCATATAGGAGCTCCCTCACAAAATACCCAGGGGTTTAATTGGGTCGGGGCTGTCCGGGGCTAAGCCCCGGCACATAGGACGATGCTCTGACGTCATCACTCTCGCACATTTGTCATATTTTACAAAAAAACGATATATACTGTTAAGACTTTTCTCGTTCTTAATATAGACTATATTTTTGGGGTGACATGTGTTGACTTTACTTTAAAATAGCAGATCTCTGTGACCGGGATATCGTTTTTTTGGCTTAGTGACGTGTGTCTCTTCCTTGGAGGAGCAGCATCGCCCGGACTCCGCTGCTTAAACTTAAAATAAGAAGCAGCATTTTTACGGCGTGCTATGCATGGGGCCGCCTTGAGGGGGTTTTCCCGACAATGTCGTTGCAGTAATTAAGGGTGTTTCATTGTGTCGTTGCTGTGGACCTTCTTAATACCTTGGAAAATGCCGTTAATACTTTTTTAATACCTGTTAATAGCCTTCATTTTCGCTAAATTGATTTATCAACTTTTAAATACTTTTTAAGAGACCCCCGCGGACACCCTGGATCTGAAGCTGGTGCAGAAGTGTGGCCACTGTGTGGATAAAGTGAGGCTCTAACAGAAACACACATTGGGGGTTATGTTTTACTTATTTTTCATTGTCTTTCACATTTAATTATATTGTTAAAACCTTTGATATTTAAATGTTTTTAATTAAATTAAGTCAAATTTAACAAAAAGTTATTTAAAGATAGGAATTAGTTCCACTCACCTATGATGAAGTCCACGAAGCTTGCAACTTTCAGTCAACATCATGGTCACCTGCACTTCAGATGCATGATCTAAACAATTTGATCAGAAACAAAATCAGATTAAAAACTGGAGCAGAACTGGAGTGACCTATGCAGTAAAGAGTTCGTAGAACTGTCTGAACTCTTGGACCCCACGTAGTGTGTGAATTTGTATTTGTTTCCCTGCACACATTCCCCTGCCAACAGTCATTTGTAGTGGGAAACTTCAGAGGAACACAGAATTGTGCCAAACTCACTGCCGGACACATTTTAAATCTGTGTATGCAGCTTTGCCACCGCCTGGTACTTATGGAAGCAGTAATTGTTCTTTTCCCTAAGGCGCAATAAGGAGGAAGTAAAGACTTTAACAAAGCCAAGACTGGCATGAGGATATTGTTCCCTGACTGGTATCCACCCCTCCCTGAGTAAACATGAGAGAATGGAGAGGTCAGAAGGCAACTGGCAGAGAAATCTGACACATGCCGCTGACAAGAAACCTAAGCGTTCCCACATAAAGGATCTTTCACTGGCAAACGCTGCAGGCATGAGCGAGAAATATCATTCATTAACTTGAAACCTGTGTTACTGTTTACTCGAGAGCTAAGCGCGCTGTCCATTAGTCTCAGATCTTCAGCAATACATTCGTGTCTGGGCATTTCAGCAATCACTTTTCTAAACAACACACTCACACAGTGAATAGCACCTTAATATGAGACCAGGGAACTAACAACGCACATGGTGATATGTTCCCAATATTTTGCCAAAATGTGTGGCATACCTTTCACTGTCTTTACAAAGACCTGCTTTTCTTTACTGGAGTCCTTTTCATCCAGCAGCACGCCGTGGAAGATGCGGCCAAACGTGCCTGTCAAAGAAGAAACACGGGTTTTATTTAAGGGAAAAGGGCAGAAGAGACACAGAAGGAGGCACCACATTCAAAAACCAAAATGTCACCTCACTAACAGGTCGCCACGCATGACTGATCTGTGGACTGGTTAAATTGCTTTGTCTCATAAAAGGGATCGCACAGCTTTGGCTCTTGTCTCACTGACGAGAGCCAAAACAAGAGGGATTCAGTGAGCTGAGAGGACCTTTCATCACTAAGAAGGATTCAGAAATACACACGATGTGGAAAGGCCAAGTGAGCGCGTTCATCATCTCCTTTGTCTAAACTGTTGCTCCAGGACTTTACTGAGGTAAAATGCCATTTAAGAACATAAACCATCAACATAAACTTCCCAAAAAATCTGAGCCCTGAGGCTATCTGTGCCTGGTGTTTCAACAGGAGGAGAGACGGAGCACAACAACAGGGTTAGTGTTTAACCGCCTCCCTCCCTCCACCAGCTTCTCCGTAAAGCCTGTCTGGACCTGCTGCCTCCGAAAAACACAACCAGAGTTCAACAGCCTCGCAGACAGGGGCACTAAAAAAACAATATCAAAAAGAAAGTTTCCAGCTGTTGCACAAGGCAGTATCACGATGCGCCCTACAGGGTAAAGTACAAATTTAACAGCTGTCCATTTAAAAACACATTTGATAACCTCACCCATACAAAGGTTAAGAGAGCAAATAGAAGGACTAATAAACTGACATAGAACATATCCTAAAGAGCTGTTGATCAACCAGACGTAGAGCCACAGTGAGATAAAATAAAATGACTAATTGTGTTGATGGATGACTCAAACTCTTAAGCAAGCAGAGTGTGACTGAGTGACTGACAGCTCAGGCTGTTTAACAGGTATTTGGTAATAACTTAAGTATTTTTGTATTACTAACCTTTTACTCGTTGCTGTAATTAAAAGTCAGGGATCACCACAGTTATGACACTTCAGCCTAAGGGGAACATGAAGGTCCATCCAGTAGTTAGGGCCCTATTATTCTCATTTTCAGGTTTACATTGTATTTTACTGGCTCTACTGGTACATGTTTCCAAGCACCCTCTTTTCACCTTCCGTCTGAAACCAGAACCGGAAACTCCCTCTGGAGGGAACACAGGGATTTTATCCTTTGCAGACCATTTACAGTACATGCACAAAAACCTATATAACACACTATAGGAAAGGGAAACCTCTGTTTTTGAACAGCCAACAAGCACAGGGTTTTTTGAACAAAGACTAGTACTGCCCATGATGTCATTATTTTTAGAATGAAAGAGGGCCTTTAAGTGCCATTTAAAACCAAGACATCCACACTTTTCGCTCCCATTACATTGGAGTCACCCTTGGGTAACTATTACATAATTCACACACAGCAACATTAAACCCCAGTGTAGGCAAATCTCCAGAAAGTGAGTACAGTCTTGTCCAGCTCCATGAGGATTGATCGAGCCAAAACTATAGCCCAAACAGTGATGTTTATTTTTGGGACACAGCCAGGGAGAGAGATTTATAAACCTCACCGTCTAAGGCTTTCTGTCAATATGTAATAAGTCTCAGCAAGAACAAACTTCTGCTACTTCAGGTTCATAGCAAGGTTCCACTGACACTGATCTGATGAGGCATGAACAAAATGCAGCCTTCATGCCATCAGCCACGTCTCCATTGTCCTAAGCACACAGGTTAACGGGCAATATTCATGAATAGGAATATAAATATACCTTCTTGTAAGTTCTAATTCATTAGGCTACTGAAAATAAAATGTTTCTGTACAAAAGGGTAGCACAAAGATCCCACACAAGAGATCCTTATCAAACAAACACCATTACACATGTTGTAATACTCTAGCACCCGTTTCCAAACTGCCTCTGGGAGCCTGGATGTTTACAGCTCTCAGCTCTGCTGCGAGTGGAAGCTGTGCACATTATAAAATCTTAAAGATTGGAAGGCTCTTGTGAAAGTTAAGATTCAGGTATTAACCAAGCTGAAGGGGAAATCTTGCACTGAGCAAGATTACAACCCGACCTAAAACATTATCTGAGAATATATGTAAGAGTTTAATAGCTCTCCCCTCCCCTCCTATTTAAACACTTTTTCCTTCATAACGTAGTTGTGATAATGAGTGTTAAAGCCAGCACATCACTTCACTTTTTAATTTCACATGAGAATAGCTACCCTATATACTTTTGGCGCGTTCACACCGGAGTACTTTTCCCACAATAGTTCATCAGAACTACGATATATTTGCGTTCACACCAAAAAGCCCCCGGAACTAAATTAGTTCATCAGAACAATTTTTACCCGCTTTTCAGTCCCTGCTAGAGAGCAGGGACTTTCGTGGGAGAAAAAGGTTCATATGTCTGATTGGCTGGGCGGAATGCAAACCACGCCCCGTAAAACTTCCAAAAACGTTTGTGAAGCCGCCATTTTATTTGCTCGCATTAAAATCTCAACGCAGCGCACCAACGAAGAGATTACTTTTGTGAAAGCAGTTATTATAGCAACACTAAATAAATCATCGGAGCGGTGGAGTGATGAGGATGTGTCGGCTCTTCTGCCGATTTACTCGGAGGACGCGATCCAGAAGCTTCTACTGAAGGCAGTTTCCAACTGCAAAATGTAGGAGCGTTGTTCAGCAAAGTTAGCCGACCTGGGAACCGTCCACAGCGCAAAGTCATGCCGGGACGACGACGAAGGTAAAATAAACTACATGCACTGCACTGTTTTAATCTGCACAATACTGGTCTGAGATGTACTTTTATTTGCTCAGTAGATCGAGCTAGCAGTGGCGAGCCGTGAGCTTTATACCTAGGCCCTCTGACCCCCACCCCTTCCCTCGAAAAAAAAAAAAAAAAGAGTTATTACGTCACAGCGTATACTTCAGCGGAATATCAAAACAACGGCCCAGGGTGCAAAACACATCAATGACAGCGACCCTCTACCACACAAAACAACACCTGTGAACCCAATTTGTGTTCTTTGACATTGAAAATGATATTGCATTGTGTTTGTTACTTTCATTGCCGTTGTATGTCTTAAGTGTAATTTGGCATGCTTTTATTTTGAAGGCGAGTTCACGCTGTTGACAGGAAGTTGTTGTTGCTATGGAAACAAGAAAAGTTTCACAGCGGGCGGAATTGTCATAATGTCCGCGATAATAAAACCCACCCATTTAGAGGGAAGATATGATTGGTCAATTGTACTGTCATTTGACATTACTCTCTCGTTCAGTTACTATAGCGGGCCCTCTGTGAATCGCAGAGAGGGCCAGACGAGCTTCTTTCATGTAACCCCTACATTCAACAGAGAATGAACAGGCAGATTCGAAGGATTATTTCTTTGGAAATGTTATTTAAATACAATTAAATCAAGTTTTTCGAAAGTTTTTCGGTAAAACTAATGAAAAATATAACAAAAAAATATTAAAAAAATATATATTTAAAACAAATATTTTTTTTTTAATGTTTTTAAATATTATTTTTGGAATATATTAGGCCCTCACAGAGGGCCTAGAGGGCCCTGACGGCTCGCCACTGCGAGCTAGCCATGCTAGCTGAACTGGCTATCATAGCTCCAAGCTGGCTAACAACATCTAGCTAGCTAGCTAGCTATTCTCAGCCGCGCCCGCTATGAAAACGTTTTGACTTGTGAATAAGTGTGCAATGTTCTGTAATTTGCTTCACTAACTCATGGCACTAATCGTGTGTTTCAGGCGAGGTGTTTCTCTCTGGATTGGAAACTAGTGAGCTTTCCCCTCCGGGATAAAACGATAATATAACGTTAGCAATTAGCATGCTAGCTGGACATAATGCTACCTTTGTGGCTACACTGAATGAATAGAGAGGTAAAAAATAACTTACATTGTAGTTGCTATAAGTGTCATTTGCAACATTCAGTCTACATGTTAATGGTAAAAGCTTAAACAGTTGATTACCTGCATGCCACAAAGACTGATGTTCTAATATTTTGCACATTTAAGTAAAAATGTAATTGAAATTCAATTTATTTTTCCTTTTTTTTTTATTGATTGTTATAATTTTACTTAGCCATGTTATGTTAGATGTCAATCCACTTACACTGTAACTACTCTGGCCTTGAAAGAAGGTTACGCATCTAACTGATGTCCACTAATCCCTATAAAACAAAGTTCAAGCATACATTAAGCACAAAACAATAAATAAGGGCACTTTGATATTATTTGATCCTATCTTATCTTCTACTTTACACCTGCATTTTGTACACTGTCCCTGCCTGCACCATGTCCAATGTTGGACAATGTTGTCTCGTTATTGCGATTAAACTGATCTTGTATCTTGCTTATTTCTCCTTAGGAAAGCGGGCACGGGATGACAGCTTCCTTGACACCATCATGGCGATGGACTGCCGTGCCATGGTCAGCAAGGAGAATGAGGACCTGCGTGCCAAGGAGATGCACGACGAACGGCTGCTGCATTCACACAAGGCCCAGGAATCGGACAACCAGCTGTTCATGGTGATGCCGCACCATGCTGACTCGGCGGCGCGCCAGGTGGAGGTGTCGGCGCGCCAGGTGGAGCAACAAAATACCTTTCAGGCTGGGCTTCTGGCAGTGCTAAGCGAGCTGATTAAATCCAACAGGCCTTCAATAAAAAAATAAAGAAAAACTTGTCGTCGTTGATAAACTGTACAATGACTTGTTGGGAGGCGTGTGGTGCAGTGGACTGGTGCGTTGGTGTTTGGATCAGGGGAGCACAGGTTCAAACCCCACTGCAGTCAGCATGTTGTTGTGTCCCTGGGCAAGACACTTCACCCCAAATTGCCTACACCTGGGACAGTTAATTTTGTATTATTGTGATTATATATATGCCACTGTTATTAATACTGACACTTCACTTTGCACTAAGGTGTGTCTGCTGCTGAGCCTACCTATTATTGTTATTATATATATATATATATATGTTTTGATACTACTGACACTTTCTTTTATATTGAAAATGTTAACTTCTATTTACA